AGCCGTAGTAAATGCGATCTTCAGGTCTTGAAATGCCTTCTCCGCTAGAGGTCCCCATTCTAGCTTATCCTTGTATGTCAATCGAATGAGAGGAGCAGCAACTTGAGAGTAATTCTTGATGAAGATCCGATAGAAGTTGGCAAAGCCAAGAAAGTATTGTACGTCTCTCACCGTCTTTGGAACTTCCTAGGACACAATTGCTTCCACCTTCTTGGGGTCCATCTTCAAGCCTTCCGTAGTCGTAACAAACTCCAAAAACTCCATCTCTATTTGGTGAAATAAATACTTCTCTAACTTGGCATATAGTCCTCGCTCACGTAGTTTCTCTAAGACCAAACGAACGTGCTTTTCATGCTCTTCCTTATTTTTGGAGAATATCAGAATATCATCAAAATATATGACAAAAAAATCATCAAGGTACTCTCGGAAAATATCAATTATCATATCTTGAAAGACCGCTGGAGGATTGGTAAGACCAAAGGGCATGACATTGTACTCAAAATGGCCATACCTTGTAGAGAACACTGTCTTCCACTCATCTCCTTCCTTGATTCGTATGAGGTTGTAAGCTCCCCTTAGATCAATTTTTGTAAAGATCCTTGTACGTCTAAGTTATTTTAAGAGACCAGAAATCAAGTGTAACGAATAACAATTCTTCTTTGTTACCTTGTTGAGGTCTCGATAGTCCACGCACATCCGCAATGAGCCATCTTTTTTCTTCACAAATAAGATGGATGCTCCAACTGACGATTTTGAATGACGGATGAAGTTCTTGGCTAGATTCTCATCGATATACTTCTACAACTGTGCCAACTCTGTCTGCGATAGATTGTAGATTGGGACAAAAGGTGATTGTGCTCCTTCCTGTAAGTCTATAGTGGAATCATATGGTCTGTGTTCCAGTAGCATGTCGGCATTTTTTTTTTTTTTGAAACATGTCTTTAAAATCCTTATATTGCTCCGGTATACTTGCTATTGAGATCTTCTCCCCGGTAGTTGGAGCCGCATAAATGACAAACGGTGTGCCTTCCTTAGACGATCTTATAAACGCTCTTGCTCCAATAAATAAGGATTTCTCTATTCGGGGTTTTCTACTAGGCTTGCTCTTAGGTGGTTTTGTGGAAAAGGTCATCTTCTGCAACTTCCAATCTATGGATGGATTATGCTTTTCTAACCAGGAAAGACCAAGAATAACAGAATTTGATGGGATTCTAATAATATTGAAAATAATATGACTACTATGGCCCTTAAACATTACTTCTATAGGTTCTGATTCATGGGTGATACTACCAGACAATAAAGGTCGCCCATCTATGACCTCAACGTGAACAGGTTTGGATTTTTGTACTAAAGGGATCTTATGACGCTTCGTAAATTTTTCGTCTAAGAAACAAGCAGATGCTCTTGAATCTAATAATGCTAAGGTTTTCAATTTCTGAGGGCCAATAAACAAAAGGATTGTAAAACAAAGGGCAGGTTGAGCGGAACGAAAGGAACTTGGTTGTTGTTGCAATATTTCATTGTCCAGCCGCACGGTTCCTATTGTGATTGAGCATCCTTGTTTTTCTAAATAAATGTGCCCCTAGTCTTGACAATACGTCGATTTTGCTTCTTGGGGCAGTTTCCAACTTTATGGCCTTCTTCATCGCAATACAAGCATAGACCTTCTTCTATACGTTACTTTTTTTCTTCTAGAGTAAGGGATTTGACATGTACCGCATCAATTTGCATGTCTTCTACTTTTGAATGTGAATTCACACTGCTTGCCGACATAGTTGAGGTGTGGCGAACCGTATGTTGTCTTGAACGTTGGTCTTGGTACCGTTGGAATAGGTGATTATCGCACTTCATAGCTTGACTAATAGCTTCGTTGAGCATTTGCGGATCAGGAAGAGTTAACAACAAATCCTTCACATCGTCCCTTAAATCCCAATAGAATTGACTCATCAACGCTTCTTCCTCCCAATTGATGTCGCATGCTAATTTCTTGAAGTCCGATGCATAGACTAATGTAGAGCGCATCCTTTGTCGTAGTGACCGGATCTTTGTTGTAGTCCATCGAACCTTGTCGTGTTCACCAAATGCTTTCGCAAATGCCTCCAAAAAGGTTTCAAAGTTGTTTAGTATAGACGATCATTTCTCAAACAAAGGAGCAAACTATGATAGAACTTGTCCTATAAGTAAGGTTCCAACAAGCCCAACACGTGACTCCTCCGTTGGATAGCGTTCGAGCTGTAAAATTGTTATCAATTTGATTTGGTTGACGAATCCTCGAAACTTGGAACGCGTACCATCGAACTTGTCTGGAAGGCTAACTTAGGGCTCCTTATGTTGTAGAACCAGCGGTGCTTGTCGAACCTGAGGCAAAGTTGCTTCTCTAAATATGGAAGTTTGAGGCTGGTGCAACCTAGATTGTGCCATCCCAGATGCTCCATCATTATGAAGCCTTGCCACGACTCCTTCAATCTCTGCAGTTCTTTGCGATAACGTAGCGAGGGCATTCATGATAGCATCCAACTTGGACTCCGAACTTTCTGTCATACTAATGTCTTGGCCCCCGGCCATTCTAAGAGAAGGACAGAAATGACTCTACAAGAAGACAATATTGGTTTAGAGGAGGGTACTCTGCAACCTCTAAAATGCCTTAAGAGCTTCAAGAAAAGGGGTAATCCACTCTCTCCAAGAAGAATAAGACTTCAATATTATAACAAAAGAAGTATCAGTTTAGAGGAGGGTAATCCGCAACCTCTAAAATGCTAGTACACTTCCAAGCACAGGGATAATCCACACTCTAACAAAGAAGAAACTAGCTCTGATATCTAAGGTGAGTGATGTCTCAACAAACTATCACGGATAGAGAAATACAGACTCGAGATCTAACAAGAAATTCAAGAAGAATTGGCAAGAACTAGATTAATCAGATGAGAACAACACCTGAGAGGTGAGTTAGAGCTCCAAGAGATGTGTTGTCGAGACTGAAGAACTCTTCAGCCTCGATTCCAATATATACTCCTATTTAGGAAGCTTCTCAAGCAACTTTTATCAACTAAGAAGCTTCTAGAAGGTTCTAGAGACTTGCTTCTAGAAGGTTCTAGAAACTTATCTCTAGAAGGTTCTAAGGACTATGTCCCTAACATCTTCTACCAACTAAGAAGCTTCTAAAAGGTTCCAGAGACTTGCTTCTAGAAGGTTCTAGAAACTTGTCTCTAGAAGATTCTAAGGATTATGTCCCTAATACCTTGACATTAGTGTTGGTAAAAATATAGTATCTATTTATATTATGATGCCAAAAATAATTTTTTTGGTGACCTCTCAACAAGCATGACTCAACATTGCCAACGTTCTATGCATTGCTTCTATAAATTAGACAACCTTAATATGTACCACATTGACAAAGCTACCAATACAAATTTTTATCATAACTCAAATTGTAGATTTATTTTTCAAACTCATCATACTTACACATAATTTTTTTTTTTTTTTATTATTATAGGCTTCATATCCTCCTCTTAGAATGCATAATTTTTATTGGAAAAGAAAGATGGTGCATACATAACATGTAAATGCATTAAACATTCTTAAATCTAATACTACAAAATTTAATAAAAACAAAGTAAAAAACTTAATAATACCATAATATTTTGTAATATAATGCATGTACTTGAATAATATAAACAAAGTTATCTATATTTTGTTTGACATCTTTGTTGAAAGCAACTCTAAACACATCAACTTCTAATTTGCAGTGCAATGCATGTGGTGATATTAGACATTAACAAAAAATTGCTGAAACAAAATCCAAATTCAATTTTTTTATTTTTTTTATTTTGTTTTGTTTTTGTTTTTGTTTTTCTTTCTTTCTAAAGGCTCTACATCCAAAAATCCTTGAAAAAGGCACTACTTTTTAACTTTGTCTATTAACTAGTTAGCACAAATACCAAAGAGGGGTTGCTACATTCTCATACATCTTTACAATTGTGTCAAGTGATAAGATCCACATGGCAACATTCATACAATCAAAGAGCCTCCATAATTTTTGGATGTGCATATAATAATATAAAGTATGTATATAACAACTTAGAATGTTCTTATAGCTTAGGCCAACAATCAAAGATGATACAGAACTAAAAAATATCTATTAAAGAATATATATTCTAATATAAAAAATAAAAAAATTACAGCCTATATTATAATACATTAGTATAAAATAGATTTAAATTATTGCTACAAATGATATTATAATTCTTCCATAATTTTATTAACTATGTTTTATAGAAAATTCTTTAAATTTCTAAAATTTTGATTTAGAAAGTATTGGCTTATTATAGTGATGATTAAATATTTTAAAATATAAATATTTTTAATAAGTATGAAAATAGATATTTTTTATTTATTATAGGAAATAAATAATAAAAAATAGATTAAACATTAAAAATACACCTAGTATATCAACAATGGGTATTATGACAAAGTTATCTATTTTTAAAAAGATTTTTATTTGTAAAAATTAGGCACAAAGTCAAAGCTTTAAATAATCCAATAATATATATATATATATATATATATATATATCCATAATTTTGTATTCAAGAACATTTAAACTGATTTAATGACAACATACTTTGTAATGGGAAGTTTGGCAGAGAGGAGATCATCAATTACACTTTGAAGCGTTCAAGATGAACACCGAAACAAAAAAAAACGATTTTAACAGTAAAAAGCATGTAACGAAACAACTCAAAGGAAATTCTTCCAACAACATTAAATCCCATTTCCATTACCCCTCAATTTGTGTGAAACTTGTGGCAGGCTACGGGATGAGCGTTTCACAACTGGTTGAACGAAATTCATGATTGGATGAACGTCGTGATTATTGACCGAACCAAGTCCTGAACTGGATCGCCCGTCCCGAAAGAGGTCATCACCAAGGTCCTTAATGAGATCCGCAAAGGATGCCCACACCTGGATTGGTTCCGTGCCAGGGACTCGCCTCCCGCACCCCGCCCTGCGGGGCTCCCGCTCGATGCTGATTCTCGAAGAAGAAGAAGAAGAAGAAGCGCCTGATTCGTCTTCAATTAGTTGCGGAATTATTGCTCTTGCACCCAATCCATCGAGCTTCTTCCTACGCGATACCGGCCTCATTGTCCCAACTCCTTCGCGAGTGCTTTTCTGGCACCCAGGTCACCATTGGCCTGAATCTCGGTCCTCACACTTGTTTTGCTGCTATCGAGATCGCGAATCTCTGTGGATCTCGCTCTGCAGCGCTGCATAGTTCTCGGCTTGCATCCTTTAATTGCGAAATTGGACCTCGCGTGACCTGCGGGACGTGGCCGTGGTCGTCAGTCTCTTTAGCCTCACGGTCGTTTCGTCGTGGAGGTTTGGGTGGCGCATTTTCCTCTGCACGATTGGATTTGGTGTATACTGTCGAGGAATATGCGCGAACTGCGAGTGGAAAGCTCTGGTGGGTTATTTGTGTTTTGTCTCACAGGCGCTGGCGCTAGTTCATGTTTCGTGTGGTCATTCTGGGTGTGCTGAAATTGTTAGTCGTGATCTGAACTGAGTGGGATTTCTTGCGGTACTTTCATGGCATTTGGGATTTATGAGGAGATTTTGCGAATAATAGTTAGGGGTTTTCTTTTTTTCTTTTTTTTTTTTTCTTTTTTTTTATGATATTTTCACTTGGTTGGGTTGCTAAACTTTGTCGGCGTTTCGTGAACAGGATGTTTGTTCACTTTATTTCAATCTTCAGTTAATTTTGATCCAATTCCTCTAACCATAGTTCTGAAGTGAAGAATGCTGTCACTTCAGTGTTTCAGATTGTTATTGAATGTTTTTTCGGGGTTTGCGCAAGTTTTTGCTTCGACCATGCTGAAGAACTGCTCTGATGCGTGCTTGAGCTCTACATTATGACGCTCTTCAAATGACATTCTTGTTTCACTATGATTTGATTTTACTGGTCACTGTGGATTGGCCACGCCGACTATTATCAGCGACATTTTAATATTTATTGATTTCGCCTCTCTAATGCGAGTATCTTCAAAATCCTACTATGTTCCGACCACCTTGACGAGAATTAAAACCTCACGAAGGGTTAAGGAATTATCGAGACGGGCGTGCTTTGAGAACTGTATTTCTGAGACAACTATTGTTTACAGAAGTTGGTTGGGATTTAGATCTTGTTCTTGCGCACACTTAGATCGAAAAATTCTGCGACGTGATTTGATACAACATGATCGAAGGATTGTCGCCCGCACAGACGGGCACGCTGACAGTGATAAACCAATGTGCCTCTGCACTCTCTTTTATTGGGACATTCTTCATTGTTATGTGTTATGTCCTCTTCAAGGATCTTCGGTCGTTTGCATTCAAGCTTGTTTTCTACCTTTCACTATCTGTAAGATCCTCTATTCCTTTACCTTTATGCACCATTGAAGCTCTTAGATCATCGTTGTGATGTATTTCGTGAACCTGTAACGTTTGACTTTCATGATGCATTGCTGGATGAGCTCGTTTGTGACGTGCACCTGCTGCAGGACATGCTGGCCAGCCTCTTCAACATGTTAGGGTAAGTCTGCTTGCTATTTTATTTTGACGGCTTTGGGATCAAATTATCTTGAAGTTTAATTATAATTATGATTTTTTTCACATTATTTTAAAAAAACTAAGAAAAACTAGCGTTTACTTTTGACTTCTATGATTCCAAAATACGTATCAAAAAACCATCTGGCAGGAACCCGGGCGAGGGATTTCTATGTTATGCTCAAGGCTACAGTTCCCAATTCTTTTCCATTGCATCATTTTTGTGGACGACGACTATATCCTTCACTCTGCATCGCGCAGCTGTGAAGCACAAAACTGATGTTGAGGGATTTGGCGCTATTTTCCACGCCTATGTTTGGGGTATGAACTCATTCTCTGTTTTCGTTTTTGCAGTTGCTGAAAGTTCGAGAAGATTGTGGTGAGTCTTGTTGGAGCTGCACGGTCTCTTACTAGTCAATTGGCTTATTAATGTGAACTCCTGCTCTTTGTATAGTTTGGTGAAGATCATGAGGAAGAATAGGGACTCTTCTCTTTTAACACAGATTCCTTCCCATACTTTATATCAATATGCTGGTAAATATTAAGACTCTGGTCAAAAGATTACTGTATGATAATCAAGTCGATTACTTTCTGTTTCGACATTAATCCGATCATCACAGGTATATATATGTGTGTGTGTGTGTATGTAATTTTCTCTTTACATGTGACAATCGGTAGAATTTAAAGGATGTTTTCGTTGACTTCCTGTAATTGGCAGGCACATCATTGGTGATGACCATCATACCGTTGATCGGCAACGATTATGGACCTGCGGGGGCTTGGTGCTGGGTTCAATCTGAAACAACTGCAGGGAAGGTGAAGCCTCTTAGACCCTCAAATCCAGAGTATCATTGTGCTGCGATTGGTAATAAATTTTCAGGGTCTTAAACTCAATTTTCAATTAAGCGAAATAGGCCCTGACGGAAGAGAAGTGGTGTTGGTTTACCAGGTGCTTCGTTTCATGACATTCTATTTGCCTTTGTGGGGAGCCATTCTCTTTAACGGCATTGCTTACTTCCAAATTATCCGAGTTATCAACAATGCAACTAGCGTGTGTTCTCCAACTCCACGTTCTTCATTCTTTGTTGCTTTTACGTGAGAAAAATCCGCACATAAATTCATTCTTCTGGCGTCCCAAGCATCCATGAAGATTCAATTCCAAGCCAAGAAAACAAGTGGAAAGTTGATCATAAATTGTTGTTGATATCAAGAGATCATCTTGTATGGAGAGCAGTGTCACCGACTGTAATTTATTATGGATCCCTAGAACTGTTTAGTACTTTTACTCATACATAGTTGGAACATTGTCAGTTGGGTTACTTGAGCTTTCCCTTAATTGTTGATTTTGTCTTGACATGCAAGCAAAATGGTTTCATTTCAGATGGCGGCGGAATTGTCTGATAGGCAGCTACAAGTTCAAACGAGAGTTGACATGAAGGCAATGTGTTCCTTAGCGTGAAAACTTCTGAAGTAACACTTGATGCTGTTCATGATTATTTTGGATTGAACTCTTCACTATGCTAGTAGTGTAGCATGTGGTAGTTGTGAAATTCGATCTGATGTTATTATGCCAGCTTTGCAGGCTTTGAATCGATATGGATACTACCCACTCATACTCATTGGCTCGTTTACTTTTGGAACCATTAATCGCATCTATGGTTTTGTGGAGGCCCATCATCCACTCTTTTGGCTTTATTGTCTTGATATAGCCTCTGCCTCCTTGATGGTAAGTACCTCCGCAACTCCCTGCATTCTTCCAATACTGGCATCGTAGTTGTTAGTAAGGCAACTTGGCAAGATACGGATATTAGTGGAGCATATGCAACTGGACTAACCTTCCTTCATTTTGTGGATTTATGTTGTTTGTTAGTTATTGAAGTTTTGGTTTCTGCCTTTCTAACAGAACCTTGAAGAAAGGAACAAATAGCTATCTTTCTGATTTGCAGTGTCTATGCAGAATAGTCTCTTCACAGGTCTTATGACACCCATTAAACGTTCTTCCATGTACTTCTAACTCATATATTGTTGGCGCACACATGCAGGGTTTCTTCAATTCCATAGCTTACGGCTACAACAACTCAGTTCGTCGCGTTTTACGAGAGAGATTGGACTTGTGAGTCACATGCTGCCTTCCAATTTTGTCTTTTGTGTGGTCACACTGTAGTGATCCAAGGATATGAACAATATAGGTTTTAATTTCAAGGTTGACTTAAATGGCTACTTCTTCGCCATTAAGGTCATTTAACAAAATAATCTGTTCCTATGCAAGCTACTAAGATATAAAGATTAGCAGTCACGTTCTAGTAGCGATTGTAGCGATTATTAGTTGAGAAGGACTTGTGTGTAGCATTGATAATGAGAGATGACGAACACATGGAATGACATGCGTTGGTTTAACGTGGTCTCTTGAAGAAGGTTAGGATGTTATATTCATCGGTTTGTGTCATAAATTGTCATGCACTGGCAGGGTGTGGCCCGAGAAGTATCGGTGGTGGACATCCGGATTTACAAGACTAAATAATTCGAGCGAGGCTGAGATGGTCCCTCTGGAAGCTGATCAAGGCCCATAAGTTGTGTCACTGGCCATTTACCATCCAAAATTTGAGGTCTTTGCCTGACCTTGACACGAAATTTCAAGTGCAGGAATGTAATACGCGGGACTTCGGCGATGGTGTACGATTATTTTGAGTTTTTATCATCATCTAGCTTTTAGACTGTTCAATAAATTGTTGGCCGGCACTTTCCTGAGCAGCAGAGAATTAGAATCTAGCAAAAGCAGAGTACTCACCTTTGACTCGATAGTGATAGGATAGACTCGAGGGTGCCACTGCTTTAATATGGTGGCAAATGTCTGCAAGGTGACCATATGACATAGACATGTGTGGCTTTCTGCACAGTTTTTGGAATGAGAATAGTTCCCTTCCTTTGGGTGTGGTTATTATTCCCAATAACTACCTTTGTACATCGACACATTTAATCTAAGATCTATAAAAAGCGTCGGCGGAATCTGCTATATTTTGAGACGCGGTAACGATAAAGCTGTTTCCGGCTTGCTCCTCTTAAGCACGTCTGCAGATGTTGTTTCACTTAACTCTAAAATATGTTTACAATCCAGTTTTAGACGTGTTTTTATTGTCAATAAATGGAAAATCCTATGTTAATTCAGAAATAAACCAATGACGTATTTAATCAAATATACTCGCTTTGCAATTTGTGATATTCTTCGAGTTACTTTTAAGAAAATGCTAGTTAGGTGGTTGATACACTGGTGATTAATGTTTTAGTAATTAGGAAAGAACACAAGGAGAGAAGCGCCTTAAAAAATATCTTGTATTGTATAGACGGGTTTTTGAAGAAAGATTCCTACTCGCAGCACTTGTGTAGCATCGAGAGGATGACGGATTCATAAACATTTGATGAAAAAAGATTTATTACAGGAAGTGTCAAAGCCTCCATATTTGTCATTGTTTTAAAAGAAACAGAAACATCAGTCTGTTACAAGCGTTGAGATGGTGTGCAAACTGAAAGTCTAAAAGGCAAAACTGCAGAAAGAGACTAAGTCGAAGTAATCGTTGAACAAAAAACTGCAAAAAAGAAGTGATTTGAATTTACATCTAAGAGAACGCGCGTTGCAAGCTGGGGCATTTCATCTTAGTTTAGATTCTCAGGAGTTGCTAAGCACAGGATCGCTCTAAACCATCCTCGTCAACAACTACACTCCACAGTAACCTTTCGGTTTCCTTTCATAGTGAAAGAATTTACACAATTCTCTGCCTCAAAACTTGTCTCTGGTAAGGCTGGAAGTTATCTTGCAGCGAAAGCGCAAGCTTCTTTTAACTACTACCCAGACAATCTGTCTTCAAAATACACGCAGAGTTGTGGTGGTAATTGATATGCAAATATATGCTCTGGGTCACTATCACGATGACCTGCGGATGCTTAAATGTACTTCAGTCGCAATTGCCATCGTCATCGCCATGTGGATAAGGACATTGGTATGGGGTACTGTGACGGATGAGCGAGGCGTGCGATGACTGAACGTCGAGGTACACAAGGTGCATCTATTTTGTCCGACTGCCTTTCGGACGAGGCAGCGAAGTCTCCGCAGTAAGCAAGCATGTTTCGTCCGGATGGATTAGAGTGATTGCATAGCTTCGGTGAGGTCGTATGTCACTCTCGGCAGATGATCATCTGCATAGGCACCACTCTCAGCAGATAGAAACCTGCAAAATCACTCTCTGGCAGCAGGAACATGTACAACTACACTCTCGAGCAGATGAAGACCTGCAATATCACTCTCGGCGGGACATGCCCGCAGTCACTCTCGAACCAGGCCGCGGCCTAGATTTAGGTTCGAATCTAAGCACATATACCCGAGAATCAAATAAGATCCAAGAGGGCAGCCAGTCTCTGCAGCTCCTGCGACGTAGTGCAAGGAGAAGGCTGCGGCACCTCTTCGAAATTACTAGGAGCATTAGCGGGATTGGGGGTAGCGAACAAGGACTCCGTCCCACAGTGGCTCAACTCTGCATGCATACTCCATGACATCCCCATGTCTGGTTGAGGATAACATGTCTCCTGGAAAATCCCACCGTAATTCTGCCCAATCTCATGAGTCAGCTGGGAACTGAATTGCATTCTCGTCTGCATCTCCATTCCCATGGGATTATATGCAGGCAACATTCCTTGAACCGGAGATGCAACTGCTGATGATTTGCTGTTAACATCTTCAAGTTTCGGAAGCCCTGAGTTGAGCTGAGGATAAGAACTAGGGAAGAGAGAGGAGTCGAATGCACGGTAGGAGTCCCATTCGCTCAACAACGCAGTTGAGGAGAACGAATTCGTAATCGGCTTGATGCAACTCCATAATTCAGCTTCAGGGAAAGAAGACACACTGGTGAGAGCCTTGATAAAATCACTCGAATCTCGATGGTCTTCATGGGACTTAGTGGTAACCGTGCTGCTGGAAGAATGTTCCGAGTCATCGTCGTAATTGCATCCCGGTCCAGGGTTTACACTAATGGGTGATTTCGGAGCCTTAGGCACCTTAAGTAGCACTGGTCCTTCATCACTCTGACACATCTTGAGCTGCGGGGCTGGCTTTGGACCTTTGGGTTGACGAACCTTGACAGTCTCCTTGGGTTTCGATTTTTTCTTGGATCTCTTCTCGGACTTAGAAGCGTCGCTCATAGTAACGTCGGAGGAGTCCCCGCCTTCATCATCAGTGTCATCCTCGGTGTCATCCAACTTGCTATCCTCCAAAGGCAAGTGTGTGTTGGGATCAAGGCCCTGGCTGCGAAGCCTCTTCTTTAGTCTCGTGTTCCAATAGTTCTTGATTTCGTTATCCGTGCGGCCTGGGAGTTGCGCCGCAATCCGAGACCACCTATCATTCCCACCATGAGATGGTTAAGATAAGGGTAGTGGAAACAGTGAAATGGGCATGCAGGAAAGATGTTTAAATCATATGCTTATACATCACTAGATACCAAATGCGCCCTAAAACGTCAGGAATGTAAGCGAAACAATGATTACCTGTTTCCCAAGGTGGCATGTAGATCAAGAATCAGATTCTCTTCTGCCTCGCTGAATATGCCTCGCTTGAGGTCGGGCCTCAAGTAGTTAGTCCATCGGAGCCGACAGCTTTTCCCACAGCGCAGTAGTCCTGGAAAAATCATGGAAGCGACTCAATAAGGATATTCCAGAGATTTGCTAGACAGTCATAATAACCATTCGTCAGAGATATTGAGAGTATGTGCAAGGGGTTTGTAAAACAGATTCAACATACCTGCAAGTTTTGGGATGGCTCGCCAGCAGCTGAGGCCATTGTTGGTGATGTGAGAGACTAGCTTCTGATCCTCTTCGGACGTCCATGGCCCTCTCCTCAGCCCGACTTTCTCACAGCATGGTTTCCTCCCCATGCCTCAATGGCTCTCTCGCAGATTCTTTATCGCTCTCAGAATAACTCCTATCACTGTGGTCTGGTGAAACCACATAAACAAGGAAATCTCGTTAATATCTCAATAACGTCGTCTCACTCAAGAACATATCCGTGGTAAGCGGCGTCTCAAGGCACAAGAGATCCTCTTCCCAAGTCGTAAGAGTCTCAACATATGATGTTCGTCCGCCCTAGTTCCCTTGCTATTCCTAGGATCAGAGAAACCGAATCTTTCACGACTCTCCATCGCTCAGACACACCCACAAAACCCTGATCGTGTCTTCCACGACAATATCTAAGGCGTGGAAACTCCACAGCAAGTCCTCTACTCAAAGCTCTTTCCCTGGAACCCGAAGCAGACGCAGTTTATTTCAAACGACTGAACTAGCCCACAATAACACCCAGTCATCCTCACCTGTTCGAAAAACTGCATACAGCAAGCATGAACAGAGCAGCGAGAACACCAGAAGGAATCTAAAACACCACGAAAGGACCTCTCGAGTTGACTGCCACTAGACCTGAGACACTCCACAAAAGCGCAAGCGTGGTATAGATTGGGTGTACTACCTGTGTACTACCTGATGGCAAGCGGGAGCACAGGAAGGTAGGATCGGCCGGAAACTTGTACGCCAGAGGGTGAAATCTGGTGGGGGTGGACATCGGCGTTGAAATGCGGGAAGGGCCGAGGCGAAGGCTCCTGTTGTCCTTGCCGGGGAGGGGCACAAGGGGATTGTGTGGCAACGAATGGGAGTTCAACGATGATAGTCCAACCTTACTTTTCGGGCGGCCCTAAAGCTACGCCCCTCCGTCATTCTAGAACCTCGACTCCCCCCCTTCGCATCCCTCCCACCTCCACCAACGCTATAAACTCGCCCACAACACCCGAAAACTCTAATCTCCGTCCAAATCTTCTTAGATTCCAACCCAATCTGCGGCGTCGAACTTCAAGTTACCACTTCACACAAATCGATTGACGAAACGAGAGAGAATCTGGCGCCCATCGCTGCAGTGCACGCGATCATCAAGGATGCCGCCCAATCAGAAAGTTTCACTTCCTCGACCTCAACACCTGCCAGACTGTACAAGTTGTAAATGTACCTGATGTCCTTCAAAGTACCAAAACCCTATTACCTCCCCTGAATCTGCGATCCTTTAAGTCCTCGGCACCTCCCTTAGATGGCACCGAGGAGTCCGCAACAGGGTCTCGGTTCACACAGCTCCCTCCGATTCTGTATCATGGGAGCCCCTCATTATCCCCTTAGTTTGTTACTAGGTACCACTTTCCCTTATGGAGGTAGCTGCTCCACCAGGTGAATCATGCACTGGATAACACCCACCCCGCTTACCCTTTGGGACGTCCTCCTTTTCCGGACGACGAGGTATCGCCCTCAGCGATTCTGGAAAAACGGCTCCGCTTTGGGGGCATGATTTTTCAGAGCTGAGCTCGCCCCTTATTTCTTTCCTCATCGCCACTTGTCGGATCCTTTGCGTAAACCTCCTCAGTTCTCGTCTATGCTTCTGCCCGATTTTGATTTGTAAAGGATTGAACTCTCTGGTTGTGGAGAACAATAAGAAATAATCTCCGCACACATAACGATTTTAGAATGCTGCATTGTGTAGTTCGGTGCAGATTGTGGTGTGGGTCGTTGCATTGCTAAGTGGGAACTGGGCAAAGACAATATTTGTTTTGTTTTGCCAGTTCCAGAGAAAAACCTTCAGGTTTTCAAGTTGACGATTTCTGCTTGTTATCAGGGATTGGTCTATCGAGTGGTTGGAAAGACGTAGGAATGAGAGGTGGAAGCTTCGTTCCCTTTGTTGAGCAGCATAATTCGCGCTGGTTGGGAAAAGGAATTCCTTATGAGGAAAGATATATTGACTTCACAGCTCCACGTTGTCACTTCCACATCAATGAGACAAAAATGGCAAAGGTCTTTCCAAAAATCCACAAAACTTGCAAGCCCAGATTAATGGAACTTTTACGACCACCTCAGTGTACAAGTAATTTATTTATTAATTAGATTTTATTTAGATAACGGAGTTCCCTCGGCGAAAATTATTTTAGCGGATGCAATACTCGTTTTGGTAACGAAGTTGAGTTACAAATTTTGACCTCCACCTTCAGGAAGATTAAAATCCGTAAATTAGATTTGAGTTGTGAAATAGGGTAATATGCCTGTGATTTTGTTTATGTGATCAAGTGTCCACGTGGCACAAGAGCAAAACAAGCTTTAACCTGGGATCCTAAATGGGCAGACACGAGGAAAGAAAAATAAGGATGTGTGTGTGTGTGTGCATATATGTATATTGCATACATGTTGAGCGTTGTTGAGCTCGATCTTCATTTGGAATTTTAATCAGCGACTTTTGTTTTGTTTTTTGTTACATGTCACAACAATAAGTAATTGTTACCTTCAAACTTTATCTTTTCCTAATCCCATGATGATGAATCATGTGATGTGTGGTGGGTCTTTTTTGTTTAAATCATGATGCATGCGACGATACCTTTTCATTATAATCGTGAGACATGCGCAGAAATATTGAATCTGGATCTCAATGTTCGTTCTAGTTGCTACAGTTTATTCGCAAGTGGCAGGATCCATCTGGCATGGAACGCCAAGACTCATGGCAAACTTCAATATCCTAGTTCCTGTCTGCTAATTCTCATCTTCATTCAGTTCCTCTTTCGATCTTTCGAAGAACCTCGTGGGTGCTCTTTTCTATTCCGAAAGCTTCGACAAATAACAGTTCTAGGGGGTAACAAATGTCCACACTCTGCAAATCACACCGTAAATTATGACACAATGAACTTACAGCTTCGGCGACGGGGAGTGGAAAATCCCGAGTAGTCCAGATAAGATTGCACTGATCTCCAAAGTCATGGTGACATGGCCGATGATTCATCACAAGACTATATAAAGACGCGTACTTTGGAGGTATAATTGGAATTAGGTAGCTCCTGCCCGAGAAAAGTACCTTAAAAGTACTTCCGTACAGTCCCGTTCCGTACGCACATGCGAAGAAATACCACCGCTTTGTCAGTTTCTTCCGCCCCTTCCAAGCCCCAGACGACGGCTTTGGAGCAAACTTACCCCAAAGACACTGCCACGACTGGAAACTTGCAGTGAGCGCCGTCGATGGTCCGTCCCGATCGCCGGATAATTGCCCAGCGACGACGGCGTTCGTTGCAAGCCCCCATGTTGCTTGCAGGTCGCATTTGCCTGGAAGGATATGCTGAACAAGCAGCTGGGGGCAGTTTCCACGAGCTTACAACCAGCGATTTGGCAGAAAATTTCGCCCTCGGTCCCAACCAGAGAGCCCGCGATGGTGGGCTCAGAATTGTGCTTCTTTCATGCGGGGCTGGGGTGGCGGGATTCAGAGTGGCAACGACATCATGGTTGGGCATCCCACCTTCTTGTTAATATTGTGTGGTGTAGTGTAATGTTTTGTTTTGCTTTAACTTTGTTTTGTTTTGCTTTAACTTTGTTTTGTTTTGTTTCGTTTCGTTTCGTGGTGCTGGAGGTGAGAGACTGTTCGGGTGGCTGTCGCGTCTTTGGCTGCGTCCGAATCCTCATAGCGAGATTGCCACCTCGGGCTTTCGGAGGAGCTCCGAACAGGCCTCAACAGCTGTTCGCATTCTTGCCCAAGTGGCTTTGCATTCGATTCTCTGATTGTTTCTTTTTGCAGAACTGGAAAGTTTCAAAACAAACAGTATAAATAATCACTTTTGAGAAACGAATGAGTTTTTTTTTTTTTTTTTTTTTTTTTTTTTTTTGCAATTTACAAAACCATGAGGGGATCAATGGACATGCTCGTGCCTTTTAATGGGTCTTGTATTTTTCATTTTTTCGCAAGTGATGTCCTTGAAGCAAAAGTGTAAAGGCATACAAACAGGTATACAAACAGGTATACAATATGAAGATTAAAATTTATTTTTATAATCATAAGTTTATTACAATCTAACATCACATTAGATAATTTTTTTTATCATTCTAGAAACAGGTATATAAATAGATAAAGGCATACAAACAGGTATATAAATTTATAAACATGTTTGTTAAATATTGTCTTTCTTAAAAAAATCCAAGAAAAAAAATTAAATTAATAAAATCATGGATAATTATGTTTATTTAATAAATTTTATTAGAATTATTGTAGATGTCATGTTATAATAAATATACGAATATACATATATACATACAAACTAATATAAGCTTTTTAAGTACTTATTAATGAACTGCCACTATCAAGCATAAGATAAAAATCTTAGATAATTTCTTTTATTAAATGTAAAAATTGAAGTAATATTCATATCCATCCACTCTGCAAAAGAACAAATTTTAAAATTATAAATAATAATTTTTAAAAGAGAGAAAAGTCAAATGAATAAATAAATAACGAGCACAATTAGAGAATAATTGGGAACGGAGCTCCGTTCGGAAGCCATGCAAGCAACCGACAGGTCAGACCCTCCGTTCCAGCCTAACGGTGACGCGTGGAATATTGCAAGGACGATATTGTGCGAGTACGTCCGTACCGTTCTCTTCCGTACAGGGAGGGGAAAATGGCCATGCAGGCGCATGCTGGGGTAGGTGCAATACACCTGGTGAAGTAGTGTGGCAAATGGGGGGGGGGGGGGGGGGACGTGGGATTGGGGTATTATGCTGTGTGAGTGTGGGTGTTGACAGTGTGGGCTCTTCTCCCCACTCTCTCTCTCGCTTCCCTGCCTCCCGGTGCTTTTCACACGCCCCCTTGAGGGCCCCCCCTAATGACGAAGCACACTCATGACTGACTGTCTGACCCTCTTCGTTCGTTGGTTCGCTCGTCACTTTTCTCCTCCCCTCCCTTCTTCGCACGATCGAGGTAGATTTTGCTTCTCCTTTTTTTCTGTCCGACCTCCACTTTTTTGCTTTCTCTTTCAACGATGGAGGTGATTTCCTAGTGATGTATACATTTGTGGCCTTTACATGTCAATTCCATTATTTTCTCAGAATGCAACAAAGGCAAATCAAATTGCAATGAGGAGCTCTTTGCAAAAGTGACAATTTCAATAAAGGCAAATCAAGATTTATGGAATTGATATGAAGAGAAGTGCTACAATAGTCGACTTCAAATTTGCTAACTAGGTACAATGTGAACAAGGTTACATGCATTAAGATTGTAAATTTATATTTTTGTGAAGTCTGTGAAGTTATTTTGAATTTAGAATTATATGAAGTTAAGAATTCTATGAATTTAGAAATTTGTGAAGTTTTTAAAAATTTTGCAAAGTTTAGATTATGAATTTCATCAAATGATTTTGTATTTGTAGAAAAATTGAAAAAGAAAGAATTCATGGCAAGATTCATGAAGCTTAGTATCTAGTCATAAGACAATAAAGAATTTAATCAATGGAATGTACGAAAATCAAATTGCAATGAAGTGTTGTTTGCAGAAGTTTTTGAAGAAAAGCAATAAAAAAAAAGTGATAAAGTGGAGCAACATCAACAAAGGAGGAGAGAAGATAGTCGTACAAATAGAAGTGTAGTACAATAGAAATGTGGAAGGCCATAGAAATATGCAATTGATGTAGAAAGAAGCTTTGCAAAAGCTAAATGCAATAAAGAATGGCAAAAGCATAAATGAGAAGAGCCGATAAAACTTCCAAGAGAGCATTGTACAAGAGAGGATGAATCACAAGAAGAAGAGAGATTGGCAATGATGGCAATAATAGGGATGAAGAGGTTTATAATGTGTTTGGAGGCTAGTGCAAAGATTCTCTAAATCAATCACTAGAATGTAAGAAGAATGGATCAAATATATGAGCACAAAGAGAAATTAGAGCAAGAAAAGAGGTTGATAATTATGGTAGCAAGAACGAGCCATAATATAAGAAGAATAGATTAGATATGAAAACTAGATGAGAAACTAGAGTAACAAGAGAGGTTGCTAGTGATAGTAACAACATTGATAAGAAGGCATGTAGAGTGTTTGGAGACTAATGTAAATGACTATATTAACGTGTTACTTCCAAAAACTTTATGTGACATTAGATATCTTCAAGCTAATCCTTGAATCAATCATCAAAATGTGAGAAGAATAAATCAAATATGTGAGTTTCGTGGGATATTTTTTTAATTGGCAAAGAAAACCATTGAGTCATGAATGAAGTTAGTGTAGAAAAAATACTGAAGAAAGAAATAAGTTGGTCTTTTTTGACTCATTACC